CCGGGAGCAGGGGAGACACAGGAACCAGAGAATGAGCAGGGGAGCTGACATCAGGAGGGACACAGGAACCAGAGGATGAGCAGGAGAGCTGGCAGCGGGGGGGACACAGGAACCAGAAGACAAGCAGGTAAGCAGCCAGCAGCCAGGAGGACCAGGAGAGTCGACGGACGAGTACACAGGGTCGTGGAAGTAGTCAGACACACAGGGTAGCAGTATCAGCAATCAGGAAACTGAAGGATGATGAGCCGAGGGCTTACGCACTTAACCAACAGAAACAGTGAGCTTGATGATTGACCCGATGCGACCAGAAACAAACAGGAACAGGATGGGAACACGGAGTTGAACAGACGGAAAGCTCAGGAGACGAACACATGTAATGCTAACCGGGTAGTGTAGCGTAAACCTAAGGCAAGCGTATCATAGCATAAAGGTAAGGTAATGGTATGGTATGAACCAGCAAAGACGTGGCGGAAGACAGGGTGAATATATACCTGACAGGACCGGGAGACAACGAGCAGCAGGTGGGAGGAATGATGACTGATTGCAGAGAGAAACCGCAAGGGACAGGACTGGGAGATAACAGGCAACAGGTGACAGGTGACTGACATGGTGACTAATTGCGGTGACAGAGTAGCGGGGAGAGAACAGGTAAACAAACAAAGCCAGGAAGCCGATCGACGCGACACTGTAACAGTACCCCCCCTCAAAGATGGCTGCCAGACATCCCAAAAACAAAACAAACCCACAACAGGACCGAACAGAGAGGAAGGCAGGGGCCCAGAAGGAGGGCACCAAAACAAACATAGATGACCACAGGCCGGGAACACTGAGGCCACACAGCAAGACTGAAAACACAGGATGACCGGCCAACAAACACCGGACTGTACACATAGTCCAAACAAAGAAAAACGAAGGAACCGAACTGCACAAGGCCGAGAACCAGAGCGGTCATCCCAGAGGACGACCTCGATGCCAAACGGGGCTGCAGAGTGGTCGCTCCGAAGGGCGACCTCGACGCCAGACGGGGCTGCGGAGAGGCCGCTGCGGAGAGGCCGCTCCGGAGGGCAACCTTGATGCAGTCCACCAGGCACTGGAACAAAGGCGGCGTCAGCACACCGGCCAACCTGCTCTGGCACAGGAACTGCAACAGGAAATGAGGCGGCGTCGGGCGCCGGCTGAGCCGCTCGGGACTGAGAACAGGCACTGAGGCGGCATTGGTGCACTGGCTGAGCCGCTCAGAACCGGGAACAGGGACTGGAACAGGAACCAGGGTGGCGGCATCGTTGGCGAACCTCTCTAGAGAAGGAAGCAGGGCGGCGGTGTCGGCTAACCCCTCTGGAGCAGGCCCACTGGAGCGGGAGAGTGGTGTTGTCGCCGACCCACTTGACCGCCGAGAGTATGGGAGTGGCGTTGTTGCTGACCCCCTCAAAGGCTGGGAGCAGGGGAATGGCATCTTTGCCGACCACCTCAAAGGCGGGAATTGGCTTGAAGGCGGTGTTGACATGCCGGCCGACCCACTCAGGAACAGGAACTGACTTGAAGGCGATGTCGGCGCACAGGCCGACCCGCTCAGGGACAGGCTTGAAGGGGGCGTCGGCGCACCAGCCGACCCAACAGCAACAGGAACTGGCATGAAGGCGGCGTCGGCGCACCGGCCGACCCGCTCAGGTGCAGGACAAGGAACAGGCTTGAAGGCGGCGTCGGAGCACCAGCCGACCCGCATAGGGACAGGAACAGGTATGAAGGCAGCGTCGGCCCATTGGCCGACCCGCACAGGGACAGCAACAGGCATGAAGGCGGTGTCAGCGCACCGGCCGACCCACACATGGACAGGAACAGGAAGTGCAGCAAAGGCCCTGGCTGGCAGCTTACCATCGGCACACTGAGCAATCCGGGCCCTGGCGGGGACGCTATTGTCAGCATACCCAGGCCCCCTAGCATCAGAGGGGACATCACCGTTCTCCAGCCGGGGAACGGGCAGAGGCTGCTGCTGCAGGAACTGGAGCTGCTGGTCGGGCACAAATGCTGGCACCAGCACTAAGGCGGTATCGGCGCACCGCCGACCTGCTCGGAAACAGGACCTGGAACAGACACAGGGACAGACACCAAAGTGGCGTCAGCACACTGACTGGCTCAGGCCCTGGCGGGGACATATTTGTCGGCACACCAGAGTTTCAGAGAGTCAGCGGGGACACCACCATGGCCAGGCCGGAGGCCCTGTGGAGATGGCATCTCTGGGACTGGCTGAGGCAGCCACTGCTGGGGAGCTGGCTGAGGCGGCGGGTGATGGGGGGCTGGTAC